GTGCAATGGTGTGGCAGACCACAACCTGCTCCTCCCAGATTCAAGGGATTCTCCTGCCTCAGCCTCCTAAGTAGCTCGGATTACAGCCATGTGCCACCATGCCCAGCTAATTTTTGTATTTGTAGTAGAAATGGGGTTTCTCCATGTTGGTCAGGCTGGTCTTGAACCCCGAACTCAGGTGCTCCACCTGCCTCGGCCTCCCAAAGTGCTGGGATTACAGGTGTGAGCCACCGCACTCAACCTGAAAATTACCCTCAAATCACAAAAGCATTTCTCTCACTAAATTTTATATATATATATTCATAGTTACACACATGGTAAAAATAAGACTATCTCCATGACTACTCACTTAGACAAGATAAAACTACCATCCATCAAAAATCAGCTAAGAAACAATATAAGTTAAGCCATGTCCAAAATTGGGATCATCTTTATAGATAAACACACATACATATGTAATCTGATTATGATAGACATGCATAATTTATCTCTTAATTAAACCTCAAATTGACTTAAAGTGTACAAACAGAATTGCAAATTGTCTAAAAATAGAATTCTTAAGTAAAACCAATAGACACAATAAACTGAGGCTAGGAAACCTACACTGAGGCCAGGTGTGGTGGCTCACACCTGTAATCCCAACACTTTGGGAGGCTGAGGTAGGCAAATTACCTGAGGTCAGGAATTCAACACAAGCCTGGCCAACGTGGTAAAACACTGTCTTTACTAAAAATACAAAAATTGGCCGGGCATGGTGGCTCATGCCTGTAATCCCAGCCACTTCGGAGGCTAAGGCATGAGAATTTCTTGAACCCAGGAGGTGGAGGTTGCAGTGAGCCAAGATTGCACCACTGTACTCCAGCCTAGGTGACAGAGGGTGACTCCATCTCAGAAAAATTTTTAAAATTGTGTAGGTAACTGCAGTAATTAACTTTTACTGTGTACTCATCAAATACAGGTATTTCGAACGAGTGGCATGCACTGTGTGGCAGTAAAATGTTAGAGAATATGCAGTATAGGCCAGGCACGGTGGCTCATGCTTGTAATCCCTGTACTTTGGGAGGCTGAGGCGGGCGGATCACCTGAGGTCAGCAGTTCGAGACCAACCTGGCCAACATGGTGAAACCTCGTCTCTAAAAAATAAATAAATAAACAAACAAATAGAATACGCAGTATAATGACAAATATCAGATTCTAATGAGAAACTTTTAATAAGTACTCATTTTAAAAAAGTTACTTTTTATGTTTTACATATGTGCTATTCTTATACAAAGTGAAACTGCTGTAATCCAACTTTAGACCCAAAGAATAGCCTTACATTGTTAAATACAGAAAATATATGTAAATATTTTACAGAAGAGTTCTATCTTCTCTTATGTAAAAAAATGTATTAAGAAATAAACGATGTAATTATTTGGATATAGGTTGAAGAAAGTAGATGAAAACCCTGTATTTCTTTTGCCTGCTGCAAACTGAAAAATATAAGTAACTATTTTAGTAAATATGGAGTGCCTAATTATCTCATTTTCTTCAGATATACAATGCAAATTCTAGAATATTGTCCTAAAAATCTGAATCTAAAATTACAGACATATATGAAATAGAAGGCTGGGCAAGGTGGCCATGCTTGTAATCTCAGCACTTTGAGAGGCTGAGGTGGGTGAATCACGAGGTCAGGAGTTCAAGACCAGTCAGGCGAACATAGAGAAACCTCAACTCTACTAAAACTATAAAACTTAGCCAGGCGAGGTGGCATGTGCCTGTATTCCTAGCTACTCTGGAGGCTGAGGCAGGAGAATCGCTTGAACCCGGGAGGCAAAGGTTGCAGTGAGCCGAGATCGACCCACTGCACTCCTGCTTGGGCTACAAGAGCGAAACTCCCTCTGGGAAAAAAAACAAAAAACAATGGAAATAGAAACTACAAAGTTAAAATGTTATCAGGAGAGTGACATCAGTAAGATAAAAACACTGAAAGTGCCCTATTTTCATATCCCGTTACAGCAAAAACAAAATGTCAGCCATCCCTGAAAAAAAGTCTTTATGGCAGGAACAGGCATTATGGCTCAAACGTGTAACGACAGCTACATGGCTCATTACGGCTGGAGAACTGCTTCGTGCCTGGATATCAGACCAGGCTGGTTTATGTAGCAAGAAGCCATCTCTAAAGTAAGTACCCCTAAGAGATACGATATCCAGGGAGGGAGTTGTGAAATGCTGTTAAAGCTTAAGATTGAGAAGTGTTCTATTGAGAAGGCAGGCGCTCATTCAGGGGGGAAACTACAGGACCCCTGTTCTTGGCTACAGACCAGGACAGGGTTCACCCAACTTGGTCCCAGTGAGAATCCTGAACTTACTCTGTAACCATCCCAAACCCCTCTCAGCCACAGTCTGGGACAGGTCCTGCCATTTGAGAGACCTAAAGGAAGACACCCATTTACAGCCATGAGGGCAGTCCTGCAGACCTTGGCCTTTACTGTAGTCTCTGAAGAGGTTCAATGACTCAGTTTCAGTGACGTGACCCACAGTTTGTGTCACTTCTGCCTATATAGAAACCCACCTACCTAAGAACATGCGTTCTGGTACTCAATGAAAGCCATCCTCATCCACATCCTGATACAAGGCCCAGCATATGCTGACCAGACTGCCAAAACATGCCCTAGTGTCTGCACAACAGAGCCAAGCCCCGAAGGATATTCAGTCTGTCCAAAAATTAAATGGGAATTACGACTACCCAAGCCGCTGTAACAAGCCAACTAAAGGTGGACCCTTGTGCAGACCCAGCAGCCTCGTGATAAAGCTACAACCCCTCCCCACTACAAAGTCAGAGGGCATCTCAGCGCCCTAAGGGCCCAACAAAAGAACATCTTTACCTTCTAAAATCAGTTTATAAAATCATGAAGAGGGGCTTGCTACATCAAATTCAGACACCAATACAAACTATATTGTGCCCAGGGTCAATGCTTCTATTTTAATGGACGACTGCAAGTATGTAGCAGAAGAATTAGTCAAAAAAATTAAAAGATCCACTGAAATTGAAGAAAAGTAAATTAAAAGTTCCTGTTTGTAGGTCATACAATCTTGTATATATAAAAAAAAGTATATTAAAACTGTTTAAAGGCCGGGCGCGGTGGCTCACGCCTGTAATCCCAGCACTTTGGGAGGCCGAGGCAGGTGGATCACGAAGTCAAGAGATCGAGACCATCCTGGTCAACACAGTGAAACCCCGTCTCTACTAAAAATACAAAAAAATCAGCTGGGCCTGGTGGCGCGTGCCTGTAATCCCAGCTACTCAGGAGGCTGGGGCAGGAGAATTGCCTGAACCCAGGAGGCGGAGGTTGCGGTGAGCCGAGATCGCGCCATTGCACTCCAGCCTGGGTAACAAGAGCAAAACTCCAACTCAAAAAACAAAACAAAACAAACAAAAAAAAAAACAAAAAAACTGTTTAAACTAATAAATACAATCAGTACATTAGCAATATATAAAATTAACATACAAGTAGACATATGGTTTCATACACATAAACTATCTGATAAAGAAAGAAAGAGCCGGGCGCGGTGGCTCAGGCCTGTACTCCCAGCACTTTGGGAGGCCGAGGCGGGTGGATCACGAGGTCAAGAGATCGAGACCATCCTGGTCAACATGGTGAAACCCCGTCTCTACTAAAAATGCAAAAAATTAGCTGGGCATGGTGGCGCATGCCTGTAATCCCAGCTACTCAGGAGGTTGAGGCAGGAGAAGTGCCTGAACCCAGGAGGCGGAGGTTGCGGTGAGCCGAGATCGCACCATTGCACTCCAGCCTGGGTAACAAGAGCGAAACTCCGTCTCAAGGAAAAAAAAAAAGAAAGAAAGAAAAAAATAGAACCAAAAAAGAAAGAAAAAATCTTATTTACTATAGCATTAAATAATAAATTTCTGAGAAAAAAAATTATCCAAGGAATTAAAAAACATTTACAATATAAATCAATGAAAAAATTAGGGAAGATCCACAGCAATTTTAAAATAGTTGGTGTCTATGGATAGAAAGAATACACATTATTAACTCGCCATATTATTCAAAGTGATCTACTATATATTCAGCAAACTTGCTATGAAAATTTCAGTGGTATTTTTTTCATAGAAATGAAAAACATAATTCTAAAATTTACATGAAACTAAAATAAACTTTGAATAGCCAAAGCAATCTTAAGGAAAAAGTACAAAGCAGAAGGATATCATACTTATAACTTCAGACTATTTTTTAAGAGTATGTAGTAATAAAAATGGAATACACTGTGGAGAACAAAGAACAAAAAAAATGCTACAGAAACCACTACTCTCACATATTTCAAACCTGATGCAAAACAAGGACTTTAAAAAAGTTTTAGTTTCGCCGGGCGCAGTGGCTCACGCCTATAATCCCAGCACTTTGGGAGGCCGAGGCGGGTAGATCACAAGGTCAAGATATCAAGACCACCCTGGCCAACATGGTGAAGCCCCGTCTCTATTAAAAATACAAAAATTAGCTGGGCATGGTGGCATGCGCCTGTAGTCCCAGCTACTCGGGAGGTTGAGGCAGGAAAATTGCTTGAACCTAGGAGGCGGAGGTTGCAGTGAGCCGAGATCGAACCATTGCGCTCCAGCCGGGGTAACAAGAGCGAAAAAACTCTCTCAAAAAAAAAAAAATAGTTTCTAAAAATCATGCAGATATTTGTGTGTCCCCAAAACAATAAAACAGCAGCCAGACTGCGCAGTCTCTTCCACGCCACGAAGAGGACTTTGGCTCTCACTGTAACCTTGAAGGAAGCTCACCAAAAGAAAAGCAGAATCTTTAGAGAATTGAAAAGCCTAGACAGAACATGTCCCTTTGTGAGAGCAAAATTAAAAAAAAAAAAATCAGCTGCCCAGAAATGTTTTCTTCGGCACACAGCTTCCCACATCACATTTTAAGGGCTGCCTTTCTCTTTGACCTTGGGACCTCTTAAGGGTGTCCTCTGTTGCATTCATTTTCACTGGCACCTACCTGGGGGTGCGGCAATCATCCCACGTCTCTTCACAGTCAAAGGTTTTTTTCCTTGCTCCAGCCAGGTGATCAGGTCTGGCTTAGAAACAACAATACCTGTTTTATTAAAAATAAATAACATGAATCTGGCTCATATTCTCCACTTACAAGGTAATAATGTGCTCATAGAGGATGTGATAATATATTCTAGTGAATTAATACCAAAATACTAATTAATAACAGAGATTTCTAAATATTTAGAAAATACTTTCAACTTCTAGATGTCTTTTTTTTTTTTGGAGACAAAGTTTCGCTCTCGTTAGCCAGGTTGGAGTACAAAGGAACAATCTCAGATCACCACAACCTCTGCCTCCCGGGTTCAAGCAATTCTCCTGCCTCAGCTTCCAGAGTACTTGGGATTACAGGCGTGCACCACCATGCCTGGCTAATTTTGTATTTTTGGTAAAGAGAAACTTTCAGCATGTTAGTCAGGCTGGTTTCAAACTCCCGACCTCAGGTGATCTGCCTGCCTCAGTCTCCCAAAGTGCTGGGATTACAGGCGTGAGCCACCGTTCTCAGCCCTGCATGTGGGGTTTTCAATTCTACTACCTGGTACTACTGAATCAAAAATTGGTGGTGGCAATTAGACTTTCAGGTGGGGGCAACAATATTTTATGCCACTAAATTGCTGGAATTACCACTAATTTAGAGTGAAGGATACAGCTCAACTCAAGAATTTGGAAAGTTTGGATTAAGATGAAACGTCTTAAAGAAATTCTTTTCTAAGTGAAAAAATTCTGAGGAGTTTCTGGAAAAAGGGCTTCTGAAACTCTTTTTTTTTTTGAGACGGAGTTTCACTCATGTTACCCAGGCTGGAGTGCAATGGCGCGATCTCGGCTCACCGCAACCTCCGCCTCCTGGGTTCAGGCAATTCTCCTGCCTCAGCCTCCTGAGTAGCTGGGATTACAGGCACGCACCACCATGCCCAGCTAATTTTTTGTATTTTAGTAGAGACGGGGTTTCACCATGTTGACCAGGATGGTCTCGATCTCTTGACCTCGTGATCCACCCACCTCGGCCTCCCAAAGTGCTGGGATTACAGGCTTGAGCCACCGCGCCCGGCCTGAAACTCTTTTATGCAAAGAATTAATTACTAAAAAACATTCTACAAAAAAAGAGAAAGAAAACATTTAGGGTGTATTATGAATTGTGTATTCAAGTTATCCTCACCAAGGAAGACCAGGTTTCTGTAGTTCTCCAACATCACATCCCTATACAGATTCCGCTGTGCAGTGTCCAGGCAATGCCACTCCTCCAGAGAGAATTCTATGGCCACATCCATAAATTCCAATGGTTCCTGAAACACACACACACCACACAGACAAAGACACACACACACACACACACACACACTTTTACCAAGTAGCAATAGGTGAAGTATTTAATTTGACATAAGGCAAAAATAGATGAACAGATGCTTTTTCAACAGAAGACACAGATGTGGCTAAAAAGCATATAAAGAAAATGGTCAACGCTCATCATTGGAGAAATAAAAAAAAACACAGTGAGATACCACCTCAAACTAGTCAGAATGACTATTTGTAAAAAGTCAAAAACTAACATGCTGGCAACGCTGCAGAGAAAAAAGAATGCTTATAATCTATTGGTGGGAATTAAATTAGTTCAAGGATTGTAAAAAAGTGTGGTGTGCCGGGCACTGTGGCTCATGCCCGTAATCCCAAAACTTTAGAGGCAGAGACTGGCAGATCCCCTGAGGTCAGGAGTTTAAAACCAGCCTGACCAATATAAAGAAACTCCGTCTCTACTAATTAGCTGGGCTTAGTGGCACATGAGTCTCATTCCGGCTACTCAGGAGGCTGAGGCAGAAGAATAGCTTGAACCTGGGAGGCGGAGGTTGCAGTGAGCTGATACTGCACCATTGCACTCCAGCCTGGGCAAGAAGAGCGAAACTCCCGTCTCAGAAATAAATAAATAAAACAAAAGAAAAAAACAAAAACAGTGTAGCAATTCCTCACAGAACTAAAAACAGGAGACAGAGGCTGCAGTAAGCCAAGATCCCAACACTGCACTCCAGCCTGGGCAAAAAGGGCACAACTCCATCTCAAAACCAAACAAAATGAATGCAGAAACAGAAAACTAAATGCACGTTATTATTTATACCAGCTGAATAATAAAAACACATGAACACAAAAAGGAAGCAACAGACACTGAAGCCTAGTTGAGGATGGTGGGTGGGAAGAATAAGAAGATCAGAAAACATTCCTGTTTGGGGCTATGCTTAGTACCTCAGTGTCAAATCATCTGCACACAAGACCTCCATGACATAATTTTAGCTGTATAACAAACCTACATGTGTACCCCACACCAATAATACAAGCTTATAGAAAAAAAAAAAATCCAGCCGGGCGCGGTGGCTCAAGCCTGTAATCCCAGCACTTTGGGAGGCCGAGGCGGGTGGATCACGAGGTCAAGAGATCGAGACCATCTTGGTCAACATGGTGAAACCCCGTCTCTACTAAAAATACAAAAAAAAATTAGCTGGGCATGGTGGTGCGTGCCTGTAATCCCAGCTACTCGGGAGGCTGAGGCAGGAGAATTGCCTGAACCCAGGAGGCGGAGGTTTCGGTGAGCCGAGATCGCGCCATTGCACTCCAGCCTGGGTAACAAGAGTGAAACTCCGTCTCAAAAAAAAAAAAAAAAAAAAAAAAATCCTAAGTGGGAGAGAGTGCAGTGGAGGTGAAAGGACTGATTTTTTTCTACAGATAGTGGCCCAGGTGGGGCTGTACTCTGATTTATTCCTGTGTGCATGCAGTCAGGTGAGATTATAAACAGGATTATAAGCAGGTCCAGAACCCTAGCTTGGTAGAGAACACAGCTTACTGCTGCAGATTCAGTGCCTGGGGGAGGGGAAATGCCAGGAGACTTGTAGACACTTCTGGGTTTTCGGCAAGAAACACTAGGATCAAAAATGCCGCGGTGAAGTTCCTGAGGGTGGTGCCTAGTCTTGGGAGGAGTATGGACATGTCCATGACTACTGTGTGTGTTTCTGAGTGGGTAGGAATCCTGTGGTGGCAGCTGCAAGAAAAGAGGATCTGTCATCAGAGCTCCTTTCCTCTAAGTTTTCAGACCTCTGTCACCCAGAGAGAAGACCTGGAATCACAGGACAATGGGCAGTGTGACAGCCTGTGTACAGGAGAGCAGAGCCTCCCATTCCCAGACAACCAGAGTTTTATTCCAGGCCAGGCCTCCGTGACATCTTTTTTCTGGCACCAAATCTGTAGCATTGGCTGAACATCAAACAATTCTCCAACTTCAACTTATTGTCTAACATTTGAATTCTGACACCACCCAGAGTCAGCACAGACCCTGATCAGGGCCTGAGGTCAGAGTTCCAGACCAGCCTAACATGGAGAAACTCGTCTCTACTAAAAACACAAAATTACCTGGGTGTGATGGCTCATGCGTTTAATTCCAGCTACTCCAGAGGCTGAGGTAGGTGAATGACTTGAACCCGAAAGGCAGAGGTTGTATTTTTAGTAGAGACTGTTTCAACATGCTGGCCAGGCTGGCCTAGAACTCCTGACCTCGTGATCTGCCCGCCTCGGCCTCCCAAAGTGCTGGGATTGCAGGTGACAGCCACTGTGACTGTCCAGGAAGGGTTTTTGTTTTTGTTTTCAGAGGGAGTCTGGCTCTTTTGCCAGGCTGGAATGCAGTGGCGAGATCTCCACTCACTGGAACCTCCACCTCCTGGATTCATGCGGTTCTTGTGCCACAACCCCCCAAGTGGCAGGAATTACAGGCAGGTGGCACCACACCCAGCTATTTTTTTTTTTTTTTTTTTGGAGAGATTTGGGTCTAACCGAGTTGGCCATGATGATCTCCATCTCCTGACCTTGCAGTTCCTCCGCCTTGGCCTCCCAAAGTGCGGGGGCTACAGTTTACAGCCACAGCGCCCAGCCCAAGGAGGGGTTTTTAACCCTAACAAAGTTCCTGTTTCTGTGTCCTTCCTCTATTACCTGGGGTCAGACAGCGCTATCTAAGCCGACCCAGGTTGGCTTTGACCGAAACTTTTTCTAAATAGGGTAAACGCACGATTTTTTGAGAAAAGGATCGAGGAAGGAAGGAGAAGGGGTAGGACTGATTTGCAACTTTTTTTTGAGACGGAGTCTCACTCTGTCACCCAGGCTGAAGTGCAATGGCGCGATCTCGGCTCACTGCAACCTACGCCTCCCAGGTTCAAACGATTCTCCTGCCTCAGCCTCCCGAGTAGCTGGGATTACAGGCTCGTGCCACCGCGCCTAGCTAATTTTTGTATTTTTAGTAGAGACAGGATTTCAACATTTTGGCCAGGCTGATCTCGAAGTCCTGACCTTATGATCCACCCGCCTCGGCCTCCCAAAGTGCTGGGATTACAGGCGTGAGCCACCGCGCCCGGCCTGATTTACAATTTTTACAATTTATGAGCAGGAAGTTGAGTCTTTGAAGAGAAATTTAGTTACATAACAACTCTTGACCTCAAGTAATCCGCCTCCCTCCGCCTCCCAACGTGTTGGGAATACAGGTGTGAGCCTCCGCTCCCAGTCGGATAAATTGTTAACAGAACAGAGAAATTGTGAACCCCACGGACCAAAGCTCTTCCCACTCATGAACCCGCACCCCAAGTCAGGAATCTCCACTGACGTCCCTCCCGTGATCCCTGCACAAACTGGGAGAGAAGCCGCGCTGCCGATGTAGAGCTACCCAGAGGTCTCCAGGTCAGGGCAAGGTCAAGGCGCAGCAGAGACAGGACTCCGGGGTCGCCCGTCCTGTCTCTTTGGTTGGAAGGGGCTGAGGCCTAGCTGGGGAAGAAGAACTCGGGGAGGAGATTGAGGAGATTGTGGAGCTGACTGCAGGGAGGCCTGAGTCCCGCCACAGCCATTTGCCACTAGTTCCAACCCGTCCCTCTTCTCTCTCGGAATGTCGGACCGGCACCCACCATTTCTAGGCTTCCAGGGGGTCCCGGCGTCTTAGCTGCGGATCTCCCAAAACCTGCAGGTCACAGGGCCACGAGGCTGGGCCTCTAGGAGGAGAAGACACAGAGCAGAGAAGACGGGACCCGGAGCTGCGGCTGCAGCAAGAGACAAAGGCCGCGCCAAACCAGGAAACCGTCCTGGTTGCTCCAGCTGCGTTCCTGATTGGACCGTTCCCGGCCCAACGTCCCTGATTGGATAATGTTTAAGCCTCCGCCCACTCAGGCCCTGAGTGACAGAAGATGTGATCAGACTCTGCCTCGAGTGAAGAGTAACAGCCTAAGCTTCGGCCTTTTCAGGCGGGGTTTCCTCCCTGAGCTGAGCAAGGCGATCCCCGGGACATGGAAAAATGGTCTCTTCTTTGCTCTCTTTTTGCATGTATTTAATAGGTGAACGGAAGTATTTCACTGTCACGTTAATAACATTTTCAAGAGAAAATCAACGTTTACTTTGGTAATAGTGTATTAGCAATACTAAAGCTGATTTTAATAAAACCTTGTAAATGAATTTATTTTTCACCTCTCAAGATTTACATATATATTTTATGTTTTATAATTTTTTAACCTTTTCATCTTTTATTTTTATGGACGTTCTTTTTATTTTTTCAATTTGAAACAAATTTCAAGTAATTTCAAACTGCTATAGGAGATAGTGTTGTACTGGCCCGAGCACAGACAGTCAACACCAAGACAAAAGTATGCCAAATTGCAGGGTCTTTATTGCCGCTGGCCACGGAGGACTCGCGTCTCTCCAAGCCGTGGCCCCGAAAGGAGGGTGTCAAGACCCTTTATACCCGTAAAAATCACCTTGGGAGTGAGGGTGAGGCGCGGTGGTAGGGGTGAGGAGGTTCCGGATATTCCCGTGGATTCCTGGGCGAACATGGGGTGAGGGGCTCCAGACATTCCGAGGGCCAGGGGACTTTTTGACATTCTGGTTGATACTTACGTGGTTTACAAAAGTCAAGATTAGCATTTGCTTACACATTGTCTGGGAAAGGTGGCAATTATAGTCCTTAATTACTTATTCACATTTGGGTTATAGAGAGCAGTTTCTTTGCTTTTTTTTTTTTTTTTTTTTTTTTTTTTTTTTTTGAGACGGGGTTTCACTCTTGTTACCCAGGCTGGAGTGCAATGGCGCGATCTCGGCTCACCGCAACCTCCGCCTCCTGGGTTCAGGCAATTCTCCTGCCTCAGCCTCCTGAGTAGCTGGGATTACAGGCACACGCCACCATGCCCAGCTAATTTTTTGTATTTTTAGAAGACATGGGGTCTGTCCATGTGGGTCAGGCTGGTCTCCAACTCCTGAGGTGATCTGCACACCTCGGCCTCCCAAAGTGCTAGGATTACAGGAAAGGATGGGAAAACTTTAAAGACGAACTTTTCTACTTTCACAGTTGTATTACCAAGTTATATTGTTGTTTTTTAAATGAGTTTCTAGTAGTTATGTTTTTTTATTTCCTGTTTCACTTTTCCGCCCATTTCACTCTTCCAAAGCACTGGCATTACAGGCATGAGCCCCCGTGCCCAGATGATTTACTTTTTTAATGTTCATTTACTTTTCTACTGGCATGCATTATTTTTTATTTTGCATACTTTTTATAAATAGTTCTGTAATCATTTTGAAAACTGGATATGACATATATCTCACAGTTAAAACAATATATTCTAATCTCATCACAACTTCAACTGAACACAAAAAGTATGCCTCCATATTTCCAGTTATTGATGTTATAATTATATGGTGTATCTATTAACAGATTTATGCAAATTTACATGTTTTTTATATTGTACAAAATAACTTTATAGGTTTTATGTATCAGCACTTCTTTCTTGAGACTGAGTCTCACTTTATTGTCAAGGATGGAGTGCAGTGGTGCCATCTTGGCTCACTGGCCTTTCATGTTCAAGCCATTCTCCTGCCTCAGTTTCCCAGATAGCTGGGATCACACATGCCTGCCACCATGCATGGCAAATTTTATTTTTTCTCTTTTGAGATGGAGTCTTACTCTGTCACCCAAGCTGGATTGCAGTGGCGTGGTCTCATCTCACTGCTACATCTGCCTCCTGGATTTAAGCCATTCTCCTGCCTAGGCCTCATAAGTAGCTGGGATTACAGGCATGTGCCACCACACACAGCTAATTTTCATACTTTAGTAGAGACAAGGTTTCACCATGCTGGCCTGGCTGGTCTCGAACTCCTGACATTATCTGCCCACTTCAGCTTCCCAAAGTGTTGGGACTACTGGCACGAGCAACAGCGCTCAGCCAATATTTTGTATTTTTAGTAGAGATCGGTTTCACTTGTTTGGGGGCTACTCACATGTCAAACACTATTATTTGGCTTAAAGTACTGGTCTAGTATTTTTTTCTAAATTTGGCAGTAATATAAAATTCTTGGCTAAGAAGACTTTATCTCATTTGAAATAGGTTTTATGGGATTTTATTGACATTTAAGTGTCTGAGTTATCTGAAATATGGAAAATTTCCACGAACTCAAATTGAGCACCCTAATATTTTACAAACAGGTTTTCTGAGGTAGTGTAAGATTTATAATATTTTATTATCCTCTGGAAGAAGTGTATTAACCATGTTTTTGTGATATTGTGCCAGAATTGCTAGCCTTTGCTTTAGTTATTTAGTAATAACTAAAATAATCAGCCCAGGATAACTAAGATCTGTGTGTAAACAAATGCTTATCTTGACTTCTGTAAACCACTGAAGTAACAAACAGAATGACAAAAGTCCCCTGGCCCTTGGAATGTCCGGAGACCCCCCGCCATCCCTCGTCTCCGCCCAGGAGGTGAATCACAGAATCCCCTAGCCCTTGGAATATCCAAAACCTTTTCATCCCCATCCCCGCTCCTCACTCCCACTCCCAAGGTAGTTTTTCGGGTATAAAGTCTTGGCACCCTCCTTTTGACGCCACACGTTGGAGAGACGTGAGTCCTCTGTGGTCGCCGGCATAATAAATGACCCTGCAATCTGGCATACTTTTGTCTTTGTGCTAACTTTCTACGCTGGATCCAATACATTTTCAGTAATCACTCTGAACACAGCATTCTCGGTTCCAGTGTGCACCCTGAGTCACTCAGGGAAAACTGGTATCTCTGTAAGGAGGTAGAAGAAAATGCTGAGTGGAGGTGCACCGCACTGCACATGAATGCTTTCCGCATGCACGTATTAGGGTCCTGATTTAATGGGCCTGTTGTTTGCATAACTGTGTACTTACTGAATTTAGTCACACTATTTTTTTAACAGCTAATAGCATCTGTTACTAATTTTTTTTTTTTTTTTTTGAGACGGAGTTTCACTCATGTTACCCAGGTTGGAGTGCAATGGCGCGATCTCGGCTCACCGCAACCTCCGCCTCCTGGGTTCAGGCAATTCTCCTGCCTCAGCCTCCTGAGTAGCTGGGATTACAGGCACGCACCACCACGCCCAGCTAATTTTTTGTATTTTTAGTAGAGACGGGGTTTCACCATGTTGACCAGGATGGTCTCGATCTCTTGACCTCATGATCCACCCGCCTCGGCCTCCCAAAGTGCTGGGATTACAGGCTTGAGCCACCGGGCCCAGCCATCTGTTACTAATTTTATACATTTGCTTTTTTGAAAAAGAAATCTTTTATTTACTCTAAATAAAGACATGTACAATCTTTAATTTTTTGGTGTTAAGGCAAATCAGAGAGGAGCAATGTGTGTATATAATTTGCATTTTCCTGCCTATCAAAATTCTTCCTTCATTGCCTTGGGAACCC